GCAGGAATGCAGGAATGTTACATGCAGTAAGCGAATAAATGCTTGTCTTTGCACTCTACATTATGGTAATCTATTAATCAGGGTTGATTCTCCTTTCTCTCTTTATAGAACCTTTAGCTGGCACTTAACCACTTAACTGTGTGCCAGGTAGTTGTCAGGCATTGTCTCACATAATCTCAGCCCAATGAGATGGGTATGTGGCTCCCATTTTACAGATGAACAGATTGAGGTTCAGGTCAAGGGACTTGCCCAAGGTCATGCAGCTGATAATCTGAGAAGCCTTCATTCGAATATGATGTCTTTTCTTTAGTTCTGCGTCTTGCAAAAATAAATATATGAGGAAAATGAGAATAGCTACAGAGTTTCTTCCTGAGAGTACATTCTAAATATATAGGTAGGTATAGTTTAGTTGTCCCTAGCATAGGTTGTTTGATGTGTTTTGCTGTGGTCTAGCCAGATCATTTTCTTGGCTTAAAAAAAAAAATTATTACTTTTAAAAGATGGCTCTGGCACCTTTACCCTTTTTATAGTAGGACCGAACAGAAAACATTTCCCCTCTTACCAAAAAGAAGAAATATATTTGGTAAAACTGCATATTTTTGAAAAGTTACAAGTTTACTTGTGCAGTTTATTCTTGATGCATACAGGGAACTCGCAGCTGAGTTATTTGCTTGAGATTTCCTTATTGCAAAATTTGTTGCTAGATTATGTGGCAATGGCAACACAGTAATTTGTGCATTGTCTTATGCAATATTTCTGAGTTGAGTGTCAAAATCTAATGCGTAGAATATTGTAGAAAGTTATAGTTTAATGGTAATTTTTTTTCTTTCACTTGTGTGTTGCCACTAATCAGGGTTTATAAACTAACAGAAAATTATTTTAACATTGGCCTGTACTATATCTTTGATTATGGTTAGTGAAAAAGAGCCTTTACATTTCTCTTTACAGAAGACAATGTTGATAAATTTCTTTGAGTAATTGAAGCTTCATGCATATTTGCAAATGTTTAAGAAATCTATTAATGCACAATTATAGTATTCTAATTTTTTCTAGTATATTATCAGGTTTAAAAAAATTTGTAGTAGAATGTATGTAATGTCTGTAGAGAAAATATCAAATTATAGTGTTAACAAGTGGATGGTTCACAGATTGATTTGTTGTTTGGTTAAAATATAAACACATTGAGCCTTGTTGAATTATGTTGAATATGATACCATTAAAGATTGGTTATCTAGTCATGCTCTCCATGTGTCTGTTTTGTGAGAACTAGCTATTAAAGGCTTATCTCAAATAATTGGCTTATATTATAGACTCAATGTTTTAAGCCTTTGTTTTCAGGTAGAGCTTTCATTCTTGGTTAACCTTATTGCTACCAAAGGGGTGACCTATATTTAATAGATGCTGTATTAAAATGAAGTCATGTTTGGTTCTTGATAGTTCCCACAGCTTTGGTTTCAGGTTGTATTTTTTCCTTGTGAAAATTGGAGATCGCTAGGCTCCCCTCCCCCCCTTTTTATTATGAAACAATTTTAAACATACAGAAAATTGGTAATAGTGAACATCCATATGAGGACCCTCTAGATTCAACATTTGTTGATATCTTGCCATAGTTGCTTTATTTATAAATATATGTATATGATTTTTGGTGGAACCATTTGAAACTAAGCTGTAGACATCATGGCACTTTACACCTAAATATGTCAGTATGCATCTCCAAAAATAAGGACATTTTCTTACACAGCCAAAATACCGGTATTGTTAATTTTTTAGTTTATATTTTCTTATTGATAATTAGTTAATATTTTCTTATTGCTAATTCCTTAATATAACCTAATATCCATCCATATTTAAATCTCCCCATTTGTACTGAAAGGTCTTTTATGGCTTTTTACACCCAACTCCACCAAACCAGGATCCCGTCAAGTTTTATTCACTGCATTTGGTTGTTAAATTTATTTGAACTCTTCTAGAATAGCCTTACCTCCCCTTTTTAAAAAGACAATTTTTTCAAGTCGTTTTATAAAATGAGTCACACTCTCGATTTTTCTGATTTTTTTTTCATAGTATCATTTAGAGTGTTCTCCTGTTTCCTCTATATTAGCAAACTGTAAGCTAGGTTTAAAAGGTTGATTAGTTTCAAATTAAATATTTTTGGGCAAGAATAACTACTAAGTGATGCTGGTACTTCATATTGCTTCCCATCAGGAGACATATAGCGTCAAGTCCCATTATTTGTGATGCTGAGTTTGATTACTTGATTACAGAGGTTAAGGTAAGGTATAGTTTCCCCACTGCAGTTAGGATGTAATTTGTAGTCTGATAAATTAGCACTGTAGTGCTCGCCTGTTCTCCACTAACCTTTTACCTAATAGTTGTAGCATCAATTGCTGATCTTAGGCTGACTTTTGAATTTCAGTGTTAACAATCTTTTGTTGGTCTACAGATAGAAACAAAACCACAGGAGTTGTAAAATAACCTGTGCAGCTGTATGTATTAATCAGATTCTGATTTTGTGGATTCTTAAGATTTTTAATTATGAATTCAAGGGGTCTTCTGTTATGCATAAAAAGTAACCTGGTTTAACAAAAATGGAAAAAAGTCGATGCCTATTTTTTCTTGTACTCTAACTCAAGGAGTGTGTTTCTTTTAAGTTTTTTTTTTTTTTTTAAGCCAATATTTGTTGCACAGGAATAGCCAGATACATAATAAAGGAAGGGTGGATTTACTAAAAAATATTTGGAGAAAACTATATTTTCCGGTGAAATAGCACTGGATTGAGAGTCAGAAGATCTAAATTGTTGTCCTAATTCTACCACTATGTGAAGTTCAAGAATTATGATTTTTTTAACTTCACTCTCTGTTCTCATCTCATAATAAGTTATTAAATATTATGAATTTCCGAGTTGTGTTGATTATATTAGAAGTGAACTTCATTTTAATCAAGCCAGATAGAAATATATTAAATATATGTGATATAAAGTTGAATTTATTTTCTAACTAACTGACATTTGGTAGGTGATTGTTTTAAAGAAGGGTTCATAATAGGATTTATTTATTTAGTTATTTATTTTATTATAGGCAAGGCAACCCTTGGTTGACCTCATAGATTGCAAGGACCTTGTCAGCCTACAATCTCTTATTTTTTTAATTTTTTATTTTTCACGCCTACAGCACTTGGTCTTTCTAGTTGGTCTCCCATTCAAGTACTAACCAGGCCCGACCCTGCTTAGCTTCCGAGATCAGATGAGGATTTATTTCATTCTTTCATTAATAATATGATTTAATTTATGAAACAGTTTATGTGAAGTTTTTCTACACATCTCTTTTGTAAATCAGGGTGAACTGTATATGTAGAAATAAAAAACCTTTTTCTTCATCCTCAAATGCTGTGTGTTATATGTCTATATCTGTAAAACACACAGTTTTAAGAAAACATGTCTATATAACTTTGTCTTTTGTTTTGGATATCCCTGGGGTTTGTTGGGAGCAATGGTTGACTTTGTTTCTTATGCTGGTTAATCAAATAATTGCTTTGTAACATCTCTTGTATTGTTGCCTTTATCGTTACTTAACTCTTGGATTGTTTCTTAATTTCTTTTCATACTGTACTTTGTCTTCCCAGTTAACAGGAGGATAGAAATAGAATCTTCTTTGGAGTCCTTCTTGTAATTAGCACACTGCTTTTCTTATAATAAGTACTCCAGTGTTTTGTTTGAGATTTATGGTACCATAAATGTAAAAAATGCTGTGTGATTTATGAACTTTGAAAGTTTTTTTCTAAAGATATTTTTTTCTCCCTCTTGTGCAATTAGTCATTTAGTGTGGATTTTAATAATTAATCATGACAAATTAAAAGAATAGTTTAAGGTGTGATTTTTATCAGTATTCTTTTGATAATTCCCAAATTAGCACCCCTGTTCACCACTACCTCAGGCAGAATGCTCCTAGAGCACTTTATATCTGGCTCTGCCATTGTACTTACCACATTGCATTGTAATCAGCTCTGTGTCCTCCACTAGTAAGTTAGCTCTTCAAGGGCAGAGGCAGTGTTTTGTTGATTTTGCTGCCTCAGCACTTAGCACAGTGCTTGGAACCAAGTGTGTGTACAGAAGGGACCTCTCTTTACAGCGTTCTAAGATTCTTAGAAGGCGATGCCTATCAAATCACTGATGACTTGCAAAAGTTTTGGATTTACCAGTTTTCTTTTGTTCTCTGTTGTGGTATTTATTTTATTTTATTAGCAAACTTAAAACTTTCTACTTTCTAGACACTGATTTAAATACTGCTTTAAAGATATTCATTTAATCCCTGTTAATCTTATGAATTAGTTACTATTTTTATTCTCATATTACAGATGAGGGAACTAAAGTACACAGACAGTAATTAACTTGCCCATGTTCACACTTGTTGTGTGTGATGGAGCTGGGACTTGATGCAGGCAGTCTGCTCCAGAATCTGTGCTCTGAACAATTGCACAATGCTGTCTCTGCTTTATCAGAGCAACCAAAGGATTGGATTTACTTTACCAAAGTAATTTTATCATTCATGGAGTACCTACTCTGTACCAGGGTGGGGAGCATACTTCCAGAAAGCCTTGAAGATGAAGCAACAGTTGAACTAAATTAGGAAACCATATACATGAACTGATTGCGATTATAATGTTTATTGAAAAAATTTAAGTACAGAACAGATAAGGAAGAAAATAAAGGTAGTAAGTAGTTAAGAGTATGAACTTGGGAGACCATCTGGAATGTGACTCCCAGCTCTGTTGTTTAACCTCTTTTAGTCTCACTTTCCTTATCTGTAGATTAGAGATAATAGTACCTAAGTCACAGGTTTGTTATGTGATTTAAATGTGATAGTGTGTTTAGTATGTGCCTAGCATATAATAAATGTTCAAAAACATTATCAGTTATTGTAGAAACCTATAGTCCACACAGGTGTTAACCAAAATTAATTTTAGACTGTAATAAAGAATAAAACATTTATTCGAACAAAGGGAGCTGCAGTGCAGGAGACACAGATTCAGGTAGCAACTTAAATTGTGTTCTACCAAGACAAAGGGGAGGCCCCTTTTATAATGAAAGTTCCTGCTCAGATTCCCAGTTAGGTCTGACTTATGTAAATGAGGTACCAAATTGTACAGTTCTGATTAGATGGGACAGGTCTCAGTCTGTTGGGAGAAAGGTAAAACCAGGGTTTCCCTGTAGTGGTTGATTCAAACAGGCTTATAAACACGTGGGGGAAGCTGTGAGTTCAGTCTGAGCTTCTTCCTGGTATAGAGTA